AAAAAAAAAAAAAAAGAAGGTAAGAGACTGAAACTCATTCCTGAGTCTGGCAAGTAGACAGTATAGTCATATACTAAATTCTGGGTCTCCGAGATGTCTGTTGGGTGGATAATCCTAATGTGATAAGCAGGCAGCACGCAGGAGCAATTGCTAGAAGCAGAGGCTATGAACATCAAGGACTTGTCTTTTGTTCTTGAAACCATTAAGACTTAAGGCTGTAGGACCCTGGTACTGGCCAATGTCCCCAGGCAGCCTGTAGCTAGTTTCAATTTTTGGTCTCTAAACTTGGCTCTGAATTTTGAAATCACTCGTCTTACCATTGCCAGCATTTCCAGGTATTTATATGGAAAAGGATTCCAGAATATTGAGTGTACTCCACCACCCAAAGAATTCCCACAAGCATGCGACACACCTGGCCCACTGTTTTCTTAGCCTTCTAAGGGGAGTCTTACCAGCTACGTTACCAAGAGTCCGCTTGACTTGAAATTGCTAATATTTACCTGTTCACACACAACCACATTGGAGGAAGACAGAAGCTCAGTCAAGGGCTGGATGGCTCCTCCTTCCACAACTGCTCGGGTCTGCACTGAAGTCCCTGAAACGATATTGGTCAGAGCCCAGGGAGCCTCGAACTGCAAGCAGGGGTAAAGGAACTCCACCAGCCTGGGAACAAGCCACGCTTCAGTAATCGATTTTAAAGGGGGATTCTTTTCCTGGAATAGCATTTTCCTACGTAATGAAAGAGAGACTGGGGAAAGGTCATGTGAGGTAGGTATTAAGAACCTCCTTTATCGATATTCTTGGCATTCCTATCAGATGAGACAAACAGCTGGGCCAGAGCTACTTAATATCCTAGAGTTCAACCTATAGCATTTTGCAGTGATAAAGCAACATTTTCTCCTTTAGATATTATCTACAAGCTGAAATTCCTGTAGAGGCCAATGTAAATTAAGCAATTCATCTCTGACAACACATTGCATCTTTTAAATTGCCCTCAAGGATGGTGTAGAATAGCAATTTAGTCTCACTTTTGGATGGACTCACTTTTTCCTGTATTTTATGGGCGTTTTGCCAATGCCAAACAGGTCATTGGCACTCATTCCAGCTCTGAACCTGCACACAGAATAAGTCTTTTTAGAGATGCCTGGTTCCCTAGGTGGCCTGGAAACATACAACTGGATCTGAGCTATTCATATCTTTGTTTATTTCACCCAGAGTGAGGCTCTCCTGCAAAGAGAAAAACATTCAGGTCAGAGTCTCTGCCAAAAGGAACCGTAAACATTACCTAGTCTAACCATCCATCTAATTAAAATAGGTTGGCTTGAACAGGATGCTCCATCCTGCATGCTGTTCTATATTAGGGGAGGGAAGAACATTTAGTGGTCTTTAAGTCTCATATATCTGTGAGACACTCCCCATGCTCAGGGGAGGAGTAATTCCTATCATCACTTGTATCCCCAGCACCTTTTTATCCCATTCAGTAGAACATGTAACAAATATCAGAAAAAGACGGCAGAATAAAGACCTCCAAAAATCCTCTTCTACGTAAAAGTAGTGGGAAAACTGACCAAAAAATCATTAGAATCAACTTTTTTCAGAATTGTAAAAATTGGCCAAAGGCTTGCAGCAATTTGTTTTATGTAATACAAGAAATATTCATTCAAGAAAAACATCTGAATCTTAGTAAGAATAGCAAAAGCGTCACGGCATTTTGAGTTGCCCTATTCCCACCCACCCTCAGCCCCAGATCAATAGTCTACAATCATTGAGAAAAATCAGTCTAACAGCCACCAGAATCTGGGTCAGCACTCCTTTAAAACCTCATTACCAGGGAATTATTATTAGTTAACCTGTCTGGTAGTTCCCTGAAAGACCCCACTCTAAGACTATTTTATTTTACTCAGAGCTCACTTTATGTGAAAATCTTTTCCCTAACAATTAGAGGAAGATGTTGGAAAACAATCACAGCTACCTGAGACATTAGATAACAGCTGGGATAACCAATAGGCTAACCAAAACACTTAAAAGGAAAATCTGGAGAATGAGATGGGGCTTTGGAAGTTCTGACATATTACTAAGTATCCAGAAGGCCGCATGCATGTATAGAGCTATGCACATACTTGAAAAACTGAGAAGACCCTCAAGTCTTACCTCTGGTTGACCTTGAGACTCTGTGCAAACAGGAAGTAAAAACTCAAGACAGAGTTGTCAACTACCTGGCATGAAGGCATGCCCCAACATGCACAGAGTTTTTTGGGAAAAAATTGGGTGTTGTCTTTTCTTCTGGTTCCAAGTGTGAAGGTAAATCTCTGTCCAATCATTAACTGACCACTAATACAAACTGAGCAGAGACCTCAGTGGTTACACATAACAAAAATACAGATTTCACAGAATTAGTTTAGAAATTACGAAACCAACCACCACCACCCAGCAACAACAGCAAAAAACCCAGGGGAAAAAGGGAATCTGATATCCAGAGTTGTGACGCTATATTATTTTAAATAACCAATTTTCAGTGAAGAAATTATGAGACATGCAAATAAATAAGGTGTGACATACACACACACACACACACATATATATATACAGCAAGAAAAAAGTAATCAATAGAAATGGTCTCTGAGGAGCACAGATGTTGGTCGTACTAGACAAAGACTTTAAATGTGTTCCAGAACTAAAGGAAATCATGATTAAAGAGCTAAAGAAAAGTATGAGAATGATGTTGTTATTATTATTATTATTGCAGCAGAAGTGAGACTTTACTGACAGTCTTGCAAGACTGAGTGTTTGGTGGGCAGGCACCCAGACATAAATTATTAAAAGAAACCAGACAGAAATCTGGAATTGGAGAGCACAATAATTGAAATTAAAAATTCACTAAGGGGATGAAAAACAGGTTTGAGTGGACAGAATAAAGAATCTGTAATCCCACGCCTTTGGGAGGCTGAGGTAAGTGGATCGCCTGAGCCCGCAGGTTCGAGACCTGCCTAGACAGTGAGACTTCATCTCTACAATAAATAAAAAAATCAGCCGGGCGTGGTAGGGCGCGCCTGTAGTTCCAGCTACTTGGAAGGCTTAGGCGGAAGGATCGCCGGAGCCCAGCAGGTTGAGGCTGTGGTGGCCGGGAGCGGCCACTGCCCTCCAGAATGGGTGACAGAGAGAGACTCCAACTCAAAAAAAAAAAAAGAATCAGTGAAGTTGAAGATGGGTCAATTATCCAGTCTGAGGAAAGGAAAAGCAAGACTGAGATAAAAATTAACAGATCTTTAGAGATCTGTGAGACTATCAAACACACCAGCATATACATACTAGGAAGGAGAGGAGAGAGAGAAAAAGGGGCAGAAAGCATATTCAAAGAAATAATGGCCAGAAAATCCCAAATTTAATGGAAAAATTAATCTACACATCTGAGAAGCTCAATAAACTCCAAATTGGATAAATCCCAAGAAGTACACACCTAGACACATCATAATCAAACTGTTGAAAGCCAAAAGTATAGAATCAAAAACATTGAGCTGGGCTCGGTGGCTCAGCCTGTAATCCTGCGCCTTTGGGAGGCTGAGGTGAGTGGATTGCCTGAGCCCACGGGTTCGAGACCCGCCTGGGCAACTTGGTGAGACCTCATCTCTACAATAAATCAAAAAATCAGCCGGGCGTGGTAGCGCATGCCTGTAATTCCAGCTACTCGGAAGGCTGAGGCGGAAGGATCGCCAGAGCCCAGCGGGCGAGGCTGTGGTGGCCGGGAATGGCCACTGCACTCCAGTCTGGGTGACAGAGTGAGAGTGAGACTCCAACTCAAAAACAAAAAACAACAAAAAAAAACCATTGAAACCAGCCCCCGCCAAAAAAATCATGTACAGGCCTCAGTAAGATTAACAGCTGATTTTTCATGAGAAGCTATCAAGGTCAAAAAGCAATGGGATGATATTTTCTAAATCTTGGGGGGAAAAGACTGTCAACCAAAAATGTTATGTCTAGAACAGGCTCAGTGGCTGAGCCTATAATCCCAGCACTTTGGTGTTGGGAGCCGAGACCTTGAAGAAACAAACTATGGAGCATCTGATTACAAGAAATATGCTGGCTGAGAGAAAAGCTCTGGCACACAGCGACCATGTGGAAGGCAAAAGGCCCCATGGATCCTGTTTAATAAACCTTTTGTCTTCCTGCCTGTGCATGCTCACAATTATTATATAGTTTGTTGACTAGCAACGAGATCTTTAATTTATATTATAAGAATGTATACAAATTGTTATGATTTTGATTGGAAAGACATACAGTAATAGTTACTTATCAAAAATCCTTTAAGTTTCCTTTTTCTAAAAGTTATCTTTAAGTTTCTGAAGGCTAATCTTGAGATTCTTTCAATACATTGAAATTTTCTGTACCGAAACTCTTTTTATTGCTTTTGCCTCCAACCAAGCTGATTGCTAAGGAACAAGCTATGCCGATACTCCCCTGTTACGGTTTCTGCCCCCAGCCAGACTGTTCAATAAGTTACTATGGCAATGGGATTTCTTACAAACGGTTATGCACTAGCTTATAAGGAAATAGATTTCAAAAATAATTAGATTTGTAATTTTATTAAGTTTGAAGATAGGATAAAAATAAGTTTATAGTTTTATAACAATAAGAATCACACATTAATGATAGTTATACATTTATGATAGTTTAAATTAAAGAAATATTAATAAGATAAGTTTATAAGATATAGCATAGTGTTAAAGTTTAATCATTAGACAAAATAAAATTGTTAAATCTAGATGTGTTTAAAAAGACTCATATGAGTCATTGTAAGGTTTTATAGCTTAAAAGTAATTAGTTTTGGGTTAGGTGTTAAAGAATTACATAACATTATATTTTGTCAAATCATAAAAGGTTAGTAGAAAATTCAAGATTTTATATTAGGTAGAAATAAAAATAAACTTACGAAGTATGGATTAATCATTAAAATCATGGAAAGTAGTTTGTGAAAGTATTGTAAAAGCTTTGCAATTATCATCTTGATGTAAGCATGATAGGCCTCATAGATTCATGATTGTTGGGGCAAACAAATCTCATGATGTATGTTTCTGTAAAAAACGTTATGCCCTGTGGGACGTGTAAGCTCCCGGCGAATGTTTGTCATATTGCTAGGGGTGATAGAAGAATGGTATACAAATGTTTGTCATATTGCTAAGGTTGATAGAAAATGGTATATAAGGTGGAAGAAGTTTGAATAAAATTGGACTCAGTCCTGATCAGACTGATCCCAGAAGAACTGCCTCTGAGTGGTTTCTTCTCGCCGTCTTGACTCTGTGGTGCGGGTCCAACCCCTCTCATAGATCGGAGCCGGACTCTGACACTTTAGGAAGCCTAGGCAAGTGGATTGTCTAAGCCCACGGGTTCAAGACCAGCCCAGGCAACTTGGCGAGACCCCATCTCTACGGTTAAAAAAAAAATTAGCTGGCTGTGGTACCGCGTGCCTGTAGTTTCAGCTATTTGGAAGGCTGGGGCAGAAGGATCGAGTGAGCCCAGCCGGTCAATGTTGGGGTGGCTGTGAGCATGTCACTGCACTCCAGCCTGGGCAATGGAGTGAGACTCCAACTAAAAAAAATAATTTTATATCTAGTAAATTATCATGATAAAATGAAGGAAATAATAAGATATTCCCAGAAAAAGAAAGATAAAGAACCCATTATTAGCAGACCTACCTTACAAGATGTAGTCAAGGGAGTCCTTCAGATTCTCTAAAGAGTAGACAGTAACTCAAATCCACATGAAGAAATAAAGAACACCTGTAAAGGTAACTATGTAGGTAAGAATAAAAGATATTATATATATACATATATATACTTATAACTCTCTTATCTGATTTAAAAGACAACTGTATAAAGCAATAATTATACATCTATGTAGAGGAGCATACAAAATATAAAGATGTAACTTGTAGACAATAAGAGCAAAAGGAAGGAGAGAATAAAGCCATATAGAAGCAAAGTTTTGTATGCTATTAAGTTGGTATTACTTCAAACTATTGATCGCTTAAATTGCTATAAGTTATTAACTTATAGATATCCCCAAGGTAAATGCTAAGAAAAAATTTTTAAATAGTAAAAGAAATAACAGAGAAATTAAAATATTAAACTAGAAAATCTCTATTTGGGACAAAGAATTAATGAAGGAACAGAGGAACAATAAAGACTGCAAAATATATGTAAAACAAATAGCAAAATGGTAGACATAAAACC